TTTTCAAGTGCTCTTGATTTTTGAACTGCAGCCTCTGATTCACAGTCAGACTGCACCTGAAACATCAGAAACGACTTGAAATTTCGGAGCTCTGTTCCAGTGCCGGGACAGGCTTTATTACCAATTTTAAGCTTTCTGTTTGCCCTAAACTATGATTTTAGATTCAAATTCATATACTTTAACTGTAGAGCTGTCAATTTTTGAAATTTTATGAGCTTAATCTGTCACAAGCTAGGTGCAGGAGCAGCTTCCCGTGTACTTTGCTGCTACTTTTTATTTTTTCTTAGGTCTGGCCGGTTGCGATCGCATTTTCATTGGATTGCGTGGGGAAACGAGAGATCGTTTTGGATGGTTGGATGGAAGTGCAGTGGATTTTCAAAATTTTTACCCTGGCTATCCAATGGGCTTACATTACTGCACATACATCAGTGGTGATAACATGTACTGGTACACAGCGTCCTGCCGCACGAGGGGTTGTGCAGTATGTAAGAAATAAATCAACATGTCCTTAGCTTGCCTGAAACAACGATACTCAGTCTCATTCAATGCCACATCTCGAAACGGTTACCAGCTCAGCAGTTCTCTAGACAGAAATACCTTGTCAAGTATTTCTGTCTAGAGAACTGCTGAGCTGGTAACTGCTTCAGGAAGCGAAACAAGTTCCGGTATCGTCAACAGAAGATGCAGCACTGGTCAGAGCAATTTGAAAGTTACCTGTTGCATAGGTCGAGGACTAACCTATTGACTGAAGTTAATCAAAGTATTAAACTATATCTCAGCTACATATGATCAAAGTATAAACTATACTTCTCGGTTTATTTAAAACGTTTTTCACATCCTTAGCTATAACACGACTCTCGCCAATATTCATTTTCCGCAAACGTAATGGCAATGCTGTCTTTAGTCTATGCAAAACTCCGAGAGATATTTCACTCTGTTACTTCAGTCAGATGCACTCTGAACCACTGATCCTACTTACAATCTTTGAATGACCTTTTAAAGCTTTTCTTCGGAAAAAAAGATTGTTTGCTGAATGTAAACAGGCAACAGCTTAACATCGTTATACCTTCTTTAAAGTGCACTTCATAGATATTTGTCGCAAAGTGAAGATTTGCACTCGGGACTCAACACTCGAATTGATAAAATGTTTTGAAAATTAATGCATCAAAAAATGAGGCGTTGCAAGTTTTTAGCAAGTAGGTGCATATATGACTTGCATGTTTAGCACAAGCATAGTTTCGAAAAAACACGGTAGCTACGTTTGCATATACCGAAAAGTGAGTAGGTGCCACATTCTCCAGTCGAAGGACACAGGTCGTCATAGGCGGATCCAGGGCGGCTTCCTCGGGAGAGAGGGGAAGGGGCGATTTTTCACCTCACCTTCTTCCTTCGTCACTACAACCTCCCCCTCCTCCCTCTCCCCTTCTCCCTCGGGCAGCCTCCAACCCACCATTTACTCGCCGTACTACCCTTCACCCTCCCTCCCTTAAAACGTTTCAACGTTTCACTGCACCCCCTCCTCCCCTCCTCTCGAAGGCTGGGGTAGGGAGGCGACAAGGACTACTAAGTAAACTTTTCTGCAGTAATTAAAACGCTTCACTGCACCCCCTCCTCTCGAAGGCTGGGGTAGGGAGACCGAATTTAGCTGGGATTTATACTGTTCACACGGCTGGAAACCACCGACCATGAGTAACTGACAGTGTCTAAGATGTAAAGGACGTCCACTCATTCTGTTTCCAAAAAACTTTTCGCAG